TTTCAGAGTCTTTCTGCAGCAGTCCTAGAACATTTATTTGTTGTGTGTATAATTACAGTTTAGGCTTGACCAGTAATGAAATTGGTGATTTTTCTTGTGGGGTCAAAAGTTCACCTCACCATTCTGACAAGCCCTTCAATTTCTCCTGGGACCAAACAAGACGATCACTCATTGGCTACTCAGGGATCACTTATTATCTCAACAATAGGTGGACTGCCAGGGATGAGACCACAGCCCTTCAGGCATCAATATTCTGTCCTGGCAACCATAGGAACCTATAGCCAGAGTACTACAGAGGTATACATTTCACAGAAACCCACAAAAAAAAGACATTTGTCAAAGCTGAGATGGAATTTTAAAAATACTCGCAGAAGGAAATGGAACATGATGCCTGAAGTGACAGGCTGTTGCACTTTTAAAATCTACCCATCACAACACAGGCTTTGAACATGTCTACCAAAACAAAATCTACAATATAACAATTTCCAAACTACAAGACAGTTGCATTTTTGTTATTCCACCACAATATAAGAGCAAGATTAAGCCACTTTAATAACTCATAACATCATGACACGTCTGTATTTGTCTCATTTTATCCCTTGTCAAAATGTCATTAGCTTGATTAAGATGTTTGGATAAAGAAGCAGTTTGTGCTTGTCTCAATATTTGAAAATGAATAAGATTCAGCTGCGCCCCTTTGCATTCACAGTGAGAACTGATAATGATTAATGGGATAAAAAACACATTGATGGATGGTGCTTTAGCATTAGAGACCTTCACTGAGTTTAAATATGGCTTCACTCACAGAGCAGGGTTAGGCAACTCAATGACTGCGAGGTGAGAGTCACTGACAAACTAAAAAATTCTTCACCGAGGCGTCAAATTACTGCCTGAAACAGAAATCAAGTAGGAATTTGGCTAAATGTTTCTGGTACTTTATACATATTTGTGTAAAGTGACAGGAAACCATTAAATCATAATGGATGTGGGGAGCATTAGATGTGGCAGTCCCTGCACTAAAAACAGACAATTCTGCTGTTTGCTGATAAGACAATATGTAGAAAAACACATGATCAGCAACAACACCCAACCTCCTCTGCAAGGGCTGGGCTTTTGTTAATGTGATGAAACGTTACATTTTTTTTAATAATGGCTAGAAAAAATGCAATACATTAGAACTGTGATTCTTATTTTCTGTGATTGTGAGTTAATTCCCAAACACCAAAAAAACAATAAAAACAAAGAAAAAAACCCCACTGATGGTTCAAATAAACAAGGTGGAAAAGCAATATTTTAAAATGAATTTGGGACTGTTTCACATTTAATGACTTCATAATTAACTGTGCAAATAGTTACATTTCACAACAATGACAGATTAGTGGAGAAGAGCACTGAACTTGAGCACTACCTAATGAAACAATCTGTCGAACACAAACTGATGCACTTTAAAAAAAAAAAACTCCCACAAACTGTGAGAAGCAAAAAACAAAACAAAACAAAAACTGTCTATAGATTGTGTTTTGCTTCAAAAGCCCTGCATCTGCACGCCTTTTGGATAATGATGGCTATGCCTATGCAGAAGAAGAGAAGCTGTTGTCCACTAGCAGAGAAAGAACATTAACAGAACAGCATCCACTTTTTCCCCTGATTCTTCATGTACCCAAACCCAGGACAAGTTTCAGCTGTCAGAGAGACAGCTTCATGTTTGACTCCAGAAAACTTTGGTATACAGAGGAGTCAGTGTCTGCAAGGTGCCCAGGTCCTGTGGCTGCAAATCAAATCATCACAAAATCATCACCCCTCCATCATTGTGCTCGACAGCTGGTAGGAGGTTTTTGTGCTGATATGCTGCGTTTGGTTTTCGCCAAATGTGGCACTGTGCATACATCTCAAACATCTTCATTTTGGTCTTGTCTCCCCAAAGGACATTGTTCCAGAAGTCTTATCGTTTGTTCAGATGCAACTTTGCAAACTTAAGCCCTGCTGTCATGATCTTTTTAGAGAGAAAAGGCTTTCTCCTAGCCATCTTTTCACAGAAGCAATTCGTTTTTTAGGGTCCTATGCTCTACATGACATGAAGTATCCTTTTGAATCGAGATGTGACTCTGAATGAAATCACGGCACTAACAAATCAAATCAGATCATTAGATTGTTGAAGACCTGCACCACTACTACCTTCACTCACTTGTATTAGAAAAACAGAAAACATTAAAGTGAAACATTTGTGACACCAACAGCAACAATACTGACATATTTTCACTATAACCAAACAATCATTTAAAACCTCAACAGATTTAAATCCCCTTGATTAGAATTTAAAGTAGAATGAATCACCCTTAATGGAATAAACATAGAAACATTCGTACACACCTCGATAAATATTCAGTATTTATCTTATAGTGATTTTCATCATCACTTTTGCATACATCTGCATTCTCTTTTCAACGTACACTCAGAAAATGCAAATGCTTTTCACACTGTATTTATTTCCATTTTCTATATTTTGATAACATCCTGTGTTAACATTAACAAACCTAAATTCACATTAGCAGGTAAGCCTGTTGTTGCAGTTGCAGCATGAAAGTGGGAGACTTTTCAGCAGTAATTGGCTTTCAAGTGGATGGTAGAATGCACAGCATAATGCAGTGAATATTAATTAGGAGGAGTAATATTTAAGGCACTACTAAGCACTGTACTCTCTTTGAAGGAGCCTTTGAATTTGACTTTAAACTATTAACTAATGTTCTGTAAAATTTCCAGGCCCCAAGCACCTCTGGGCTTTGGACTATATGCCATAAGGGACACAATATAATGTGTCTGTGTCATAAACACTACTTACTAGTGATCACGAGAACCTGTTTTCTCATCATATAGAAACAATGATGAAGTAATGTGTGATACAATTAAGCTTTAAGTCATAATCTATATTCCTCCATTTTTCTATATACAGTAGAATACTTTATTCAAATGGTAGATATCTGGTTATATATTGTTTTTTGTTTTTGTGGACTCAAACCGAATGTGTTGTATATTCATCCATACAAGCTTGCAGCACTGCCAGAAATGTGACCAAATGCATCCGCCTGGAAGACTTACTGAAAATAGTTTCTATTATTTGTGCTCTGACTGTAACAGATCACTGGGAAGATTGTAAGAGTTTAGATTAAAATGTATACACAGTCACAAACACTGATTCATTCTCATTCATGAGAGCGAGGCTGCGAAACCTTTGGCAATCTTCAGAGTACTCTTAACACAGCTTTACCTGGTCTGACAATAAATGTGAAAACACCACGTGATTACAGCCGCCACTTTATGTGACTCTAAACGATGCTGGACATTAAGTAATGAGCTATAATTACGACAGTTCAGCAAAAAATTCCCATGACAAGCAAACCGCCCTGATATGATGCAGAGCTAAAAAAGAGCAATTACAGCAAGTCCTTCTATGCAGTGCCCAAGTTATGGAGATTTGGCAAGCACCTCTGAGAACAGATTACCCTGTTAGCAACTGGACACGGTATTAAAGCAGATGACATTTAAGAGCGCATATATTAAGTAAAGAATGAGAAGCAAAGATGCAACACTGCACTGGAGGGGGCAGTGCCAGGATGAAGACACAATAACAGACCCTGAACTATTGATTAGATTAAAAGTGTGATCCCAGCCTCTAAGCACTTTGTTTTCCAGTATACAGTTTTCGAAAGTTGGCACGAGCACATTTGTAACAGTGTTACTGTGACTATAAGAACAAAGTCAATAAATGTAACAGAGTTCGTTTTTTTGGTTTATTTTTTAAATATAAATCTCAAGGTTATAGTTTCAATATGCGTAACTATTTATATTTACAGCGATCGTGGCTCAAGAGTTGGGAGTTCATCTTGTAATCGGAAGGTTGCC